TGAACCGCTTTTGCTCCCCTTTCCCTAATGAAGTTTGGATTCATAATAAGATTAAATAATTAATTTTCTTTTGGTAATGCATGTATTGATAAAAATGATAAAAAAAAATTATTTTGAATTTGAAATTTGATAATAAATGTACAAAAACGTTTATAAATTGAAATACCTTGAAAGATGTCGTAGACGATTTTTTCTTCACGCCTTTTTCTTTTACATGCTTCAAAACGGGTTTGAGATTAGTAATTTCCTTGCTATCATCTTTGCTCTGCTTCTTCCCTTTAAATGCCTTTATGATTTCAACCAGCTCTTCAAATTCAAATTCCAGCATATATTTGATTTCCTTGTTAATGTTGAACACGGCTTGTAACAACCGTGTTACAACTACAGCCCAACAATATGCTGCACCAAAAAATAATAATATCATAAAAAATAAATTATTAATATATGTTAGACATGTTATTTCATATATATATATATATATGTATATATACCTGCTTGTTGATTTACGACTTTTCCAATCACTAGATTTTCTTTGTCTCTCCAATCTTTGATCAGTGTAGTGTTATCTCCAAACTCCTGAAATCATTAAAATATAACTAAGATGATAATTAAATTTATAGTATTGTATAACAATAAGTACATATACCCCTTTTGGATTTGGTTCATGATCAGGAATTCTTTGTTTTTCATCGGGTTTAGGTTGTGGCGATGGAACTTGATTTTGACGTGGATTTCTTCTATGACTCTTATTGGATTTAGCTCCAATATTTGGCCCAGTATATTCCATCTGCAAATTTAAAAGAAATGAATAAAAACATTTATAATATAACAACGTACAAGTATATATATGTATTTATATTATATTGAGATATACAATATAAATATAAACAATATACATGCAAAAGAAGAAAAGAGAATGTAACTATATACACATTAATATATATACGACAGTACATGCAACAACTAAAAACAAATTCTATATAAGTCAACAAAACTTCACATATCATTGATTTGAAGATTTATTGATTTAGACGAAGTCAAAGAAAAACGAAAATATTAAGATTAAGAATGTTAAAAAAAAATTATAGATGATACTATTTCCTAAAATCTGGAACTAATATGATACATTAAATGGACACACAATACCTAGAAACAACAAATAATTTAAAGGTGACAATTTTGGGATGCGACCCAAAACCTGGCCCCCGCCCGAAAAAATGATCTAGTTCATACTTTGACTCTATGAAAAAACAGGGCTTCACACTTCGCCCAATTCAAAACAATTATATATGATAAAATGATTTAAATCAAAAAACAAAACCCTAATTCACCGGGCCAATCCAACTCGAGTCTATCTTATAGACTCGGGCTTTAGGTTTAATTTTGTAGGCTCGAAAAAATTCAGGCACACTCGAACCCGAATCTAAAACCTTGGTGCAGGTAGGGATCAAATCGGACTATTTGACACTCCTAGAATAACTTCTAACATAATATGTCTTTGTTCATATTCTTCATGGGCTAATATCCATAAAGTTGGAGAAAAAGAGTTCTCATTTCATAAGGTTCTATCATAAATTCCAAAAAAAACAACCATAAGTTATAATAACCATTTCAAAACACGACTGAAAAAGACACAAGATTATCAAATTGCATCGGGTTTAGTGGGTTGGGTTAACCCACTAAACCCGACGCAATTTTTATTGTATAGAAAAATTTGATTAGGGTTATGTTCGTCAATAGAAACAATACCCATGTCGTGTGATAGAAAAAAAAACATTTTAATAAAAGTGTCAATCTCTTGTAAAGAAAACTACATTTATTCATAATTTTTTTTTCTTGCAGTTTTATACTAGAACTAGAAGATAGAGATATCAAAATGTACCCAAATGGGTTAGTCCATTAATTTGGCTAATGTTTTAAGATGGGTTAAAGAGGTTTTGACCCATTAAACCCATTGATTAAATGGTTAACCCATTAAACTCATTATATATTTAGTTAAAATTAAACTCATCTTGTAACTAATTAAAATTGTTATATTTAGATATATAAAAATTAACATATATAGATATTTATATATATACTTATATATGTATATGAATTAAATCGAAATATTTGGTATTGTTTTCGAATCAAATCGTACCGAAAAATTCGGTTTTGTTTTCGAACCGTGTCGAAAAACTCGATACTGCTCCGAATCGAATCATACCAAAAAATTCGGTGTCGTTTTCGCATCAAATCGTGCAGAAAAATTTGAATCATATAAAAATTCGATACCATTCCGAATCGAACCGAAAAAATTGTTGTTCCCGAATCGAATCGTATCGAAAAACTCGATGGCATTTTCGAATCGAATCATGTCGAAAAATTCGAATTGTATAAAAAACTCGGTACCGGTCCGAATCGAATCGTACCGAAAAACTCGATGTCGTTTCCGAATCGAATCGTGGTGGAAAATTCGAATCGTATAAAAAATTCGGTACTAATCCGAATCGAATCGTATAAAAAAACCCGGTGTCGTTTTCGCATCGAATCGTGCCGAAAAATTCAAATCGTATAAAAAAACTCAGTACCGTTCCGAATCGAATCGTACCGAAAAATTCAGTGTCGTTTTCGCATCGAATCGTGGCGAAAAATTCGAATCGTATAAAAAATTCGATTCCATTCTGAATTGAATCGTATCGAAAATTCCCATAATACTGGAAAACTCGAACCATTTCTAAATCGAATTGTATTAAAAAAATCAGTGTCATTTTCGAACCGAAACGTTCAAAAAATCTAAACGACGGTATTTTTAAAACATCGAATCGATTTTAAAAAATCAAATAATCTGATTTTTTTAAAGAAATGTATAAAATTTTTTTATAAACTATCGAATATAATATAATATCCAATTTTGTATATATTTTTATTGAATCGATAAACCGAATCGAATATTAAAATGATAATTTCTAGGTTATATGAGTATACATATTAATAGTTATACATATGTATAAGTAATTTGTGAATATATAAGTGGGTTTATATAGTTTATACGGGTCTAATGGGTCGACCCAATCCAATCCACTATTAATAACGGATCGACCCAATCCAACCCCTTTATCTTTCAAATCCAAATGGGTTGGATCCAAATGGGTTGGACCAACCGAATTGACATCCCTACTAGAACAAAAGAACTCTGTAAACGAAGAGATAGAGAAGCCAAGATAATGTACACCAGCCGAACAGTTTTTCAATCACAAATTTTTATCTTGTTTTTACGAAAGACACCTATGAAACTACACACAGATTTAACTAATGACATAATGTACAAAAACACCAAAAAAGAGAGAGAAGAAAACACAAATCCAAGATTGGAACGAAGGTGTTACCGAGATTGTGAGAAGGCGGATGAGCTCCCAAGATTTAAGCCACAAATCCAATGTGAAAAAATTTCAAGCTTTAAGGGTTTCAACGATGTATATACGTATATGTATATGTGTATATACACACAGATTTAACTAATGACCTAATGTACAAAAACACCAAAAAAAGAGAGAGAAGAAAACACAAATCCAAGATTGGAACGAAGGTGTTACCGAGATTGTGAGAAGGCGGATGAGCTCCCAAGATTTAAGCCACAAATCCAATCTGAAAAAGATTCAAACTTTAAGGGTTTCAACGATGTATATACGTATATGTATATGTGTATATACACACAGATTTAACTAATGACCTAATGTACAAAAACACCAAAAAAAGAGAGAGAAGAAAACACAAAACGGGCTAGATGAACAAGATTGGAACGAAGGTGTTACCGAGATTGTGAGAAGGCGGATGAGCTCCCAAGATTTAAGCCACAAATCCAATCTGAAAAAGATTCAAACTTTAAGGGTTTCAACGATGTATGTACGTATATGTATATGTGTATATACACACAGATTTAGCTAATGACCTAATGTACAAAAACACCAAAAAAAGAGAGAGAAGA